AGCCCCTCGCACACCAGGCCTGCGTGCCCGAGGGGGCTGGCAGACACGCTACGTCTGGCACAACCCTGGGTCGCAGCGCAGCGGGTCACCTGCCCGCTCGCTTCGCTTTAAGTGCAGGCTTTATTCCCGGGGGTTTAACTGGGAGCAGAAGTCAAGACTGCGTTTGAGACCCCGGGCTTAAGCACTGTAACGTGCTGGCTGGAAAAGCAATGAATCGTGTGCTGTTTGCTCTCAGCTACGTTTGCATCCCAGCTCTTCTGGAACAACCGGGTACACGTCTCCCGAGTCACTCCAACACACCCACAGTTGCAAAATCCTTTAGCTTTTGGGAAAAAAAAAAAAAGAGCCATATAAAGCCAGTCTTTATTAAACTTTTATCCTCCGATGCCTTGATGTCAGAAAGCGTGGCAAGAACATGCCACTTCCTATGGCTTGCTCGAAAACTGGCAGATGAGCCATCGAAACAGTGGCGCTTGCCACAGCCGGGGATGCTCTGGCAGAGGAGGGCAGCGGGGCCGGCATCTCCTCGCTCCAGAAAACAGTCTTCACTGGAAAATACATAATTTTACTCCTTTCAGTGGAGTTTTTCTCACCTACACTTAGGAAGGGTGCAACAAAAACCCAAGCAGGTGTTTTCTTGGCCAGCAAGTCTGGCCCAGGCTCCTCTCCCTCCCACTCAGCTTCTTCTGAAATTATACAGATAAATGGAGATTCAGCTCCGTTCCTGTTACCAGAGCATTTCAGGCATAACCCAAGCCCAGACCACTGGGAGAGCAGCCCGGTTTTCCATCACGCTGTGGTCTCTGCCCATGGCTGGGCTGCTGGGGCAGGGCGTGGAAAACCTTCCCGGCCACCACAGCTGGCCCCGCATGCAGCGTTGTTGCCCTCACTGTTACTCCTCCTCCCCGCAACAGCAAAACACTCCACGTGCGCAGGCTTCGGGGGGTCAGAGCCCTGCACGTCGCGCTGAAGCCCAGCATCTGCCTGTCTGACCTCCTTCCCCCAGCCCTGATCGTACCCAGCCTTGAGCCGCCCTTTTGTGCACGGCAGAAAGCCCTGGGCACGGCCGTGGTCACTCGCCCAGTGACCCCCGAACAAGGTGCAATGACCAGGCTCGCCGTGCCACGCTCGCCCCGCGTCCCTGCAATGACCTCAGTGGAGGCAGGATTTGTCCAGGATCAGCCTTTTCTTTATTGAAGGATTTTTGCATAGGCAAACGTTACATTTTTGGACAGAGAAATGTTAAAATGATCGATCCTATGTGTACGCACGCGCTCACACCCACAGCCCGGGCTGTCTTTCTTTGGGTATTTATTCATATGCTTATATACAGTGGCCTGGAGGAAAATGTATTCCGTGGTTTGAAAGAGGGATCTAAAAGGGTGACACTGATAAATGCCTTTAAAGAGCATCCACTCTGCGTGTCTGTGTCTCTGCTGCTCGGTTTCAGCAGCTTTGTGACTGCGAAACACAGGCTGCAGGCTGCGTGCTGCGCTTTTCTAGTTTGAATTTTGTTCTGACTCCTCTTACTTTACTCTCTCACCTGTAAAAAGCAGGATTCCTAGTGAAAACAAGCAAGGCATTGCTGCAGATGCTCAGCTCTAAAGGATTTCCAGAAGCAAGGCAGCTGGCAGCGCAGTGCTTCGTCCTGCCTCGGGCTGGTTGTGACAGACCATCCACCGACTGGAACAGACCCAGGGAAGCGCGATGCAGGGAGGGGGTTTGCTGCCCTTCTTCTGCAGACAGAAACGGCGTTTGGGGGTGAGGCTGCGCCTTGAGCTCGTACAGGGACCTGTTGTCCTGGGCATAGGATCAAGGGAGTTGTTTCTCAAGTAAGGATTGCAAGATAGGTAGTAGCTGTCCTTTAAAAATGCAGTACAATCCAAAGAAAACAGCTAAGAAAATTTCAACTAAAAGACACAAATTCATAATGCATATATTGGTTAAATGTGCACTGTTGTAAAATAGACAATAATTTACAGGCTTTTCTCTTGAAATATTAGTGCTGCTATGAGGAGACAAGAGTGTGACTTACTTAGAATGACTTACCATAACATTTCCATACTGTAAATGAGAGGGATTAAGTTGACATTATATATTACTTAGCTGTGTACCAATTAGCTAAACAAATGCTACGAATTCCGTCACTTATGATGGAAGCTACATAAAAATTGTATAATTACTGCAGTGAGTCATCTAGTTAAATGGCACTGCTATACGGACGAATCGATTTCAATGCGAGATTAATAGCCTTCTGCTGCTGTTTTACGTGCTTGCCAAAGACCACACTACATTGTTGCTAAGCATCATTAATGGATTAAAATAAGGGTTCTGCATAATTCCTACGGCGTATCTTCAAACAGCTGGTTTAGTTCGTGCACTAGCCTAGCGCTGGTTAGCCCTACGTAACACACGGGTCTGGAAGGCTGACACGTGCGAGGGAGGTTAATGCAATCCTAGGAACTCTTTCAAGAGCTCACAGGTTTTCTTGTGGATGACTTCGCGGAGCTTCCGCACACGTCGGATGCTGGAGGACCCCACAAAGCTGTCTGGCTGTAGGACAGCCATGCCGTTGTGGACATCTCCCATGATGATGAGCTGGCCATCCACCGTGGTCATGTTGGGACATGGGCAGCTCCAGTCCATGTTCAAAAGCGTGATTTCTAGTGGTTCCTTCCCCAGGAATTTTAATCCCATTTTTTCATCTTTGAGAATCTCCTCCACTGTCACCAGGGCATGTCCCGAGTCTTGGTCTTCGGTCAGCTCTGTTATACGGCCCAGGATAACAAAGTCGCTTTTGCAGAAGCTTGTCACCAGCTTCTGGCGTGGTTTGCAAGCTTTGCAGTGCGTGTTCTTCGGGAAGGGGCACATCTCTTCGCAGGCCTCCCGGCTCTCAAAGTTGTTCTCGTTGCCGCCGCACCCGCCATAGATGAAGGACTGGCACTGCTTTGTCAAGCTGTTATAGGCCCATCTGGGCTCATAGGCTTTGCAGTGACCTTGCAGGGCTGGCAGATTGCAAATGTTGATTGGGCCGTTCATGCACGTTAACATACAGTTCTCGTAGGTCTCAAAGTGGTTGAGGTTGCTGTTACAGTTCCCATAGATGAAAGTAAAGCAGTTGTTTTTCTTTGCATCATAGTACCACCTGGTCTGCTCTTCCCCGCAGTCTTCGCTGTCTGGTTGCTTCAGGCACTCATCGGTTGGAAAATGTGTTTTATTTTGGGAAGCTTCTTTGGATGTGGGTTCTCCTTTGATGACTGACAAAGGGAAATCAGCCCTGAGCAGGCCACCGCTGTTTTTGGCGGTGCAGGTGTAGATGCCTGCATCTTGGAGCTGGGTGTTGTAGATGACCAGCTGGGCGATGTTGGTGACCACAACGTTCCCTCTGACGTGATTTGGCTTCATAATCACTTTGTCTTTCCCATCGACCTGCTTCTCCCATGTGATTTCTGGCTTGGGTCTCCCTGTAACATCACAGAGGAAGCTGACGGTCTCTCCCACGTAGACGGACTGATGGACAGGGTTGTTCACTAGAGCAGGCGGCAAGATATCAATGACCGTTGTCTCAGAATAGGCAGTAGTAGGGCGAGCTGTTGTTTCTGGTGGGATAGGGCTGGTGTTTGGCCAGGTGAGATGGTACCTACAGGTGACTACGTTCAGTGTAATGCCTTTGATGCAAGCTTCTGCATCCATGTAGCACTTGTTGTAGTAGGTGAGCCCGTCGGAGGCACAGGTGAAGCTCGGCTCCTTCTCACACCTGTCCTTGCACTTGCAGACAGGTTGCCCGTCCCAGATGTCGCACTCTGAGCCTTGCTGGATGCACATGAAGCGGTCGCAGGTTGCCTCTTTGGGCATTCCCACCGGCCCTTTTTTCCCCTTGACGTCCATGTATCGAGCCGCCACGCAACTCTTCGTTCCACAGACATTAGGGCAGCACTTCTCAAAGGTCTCGCACTCCTGTGGGGAAAGAAAATGACCCAATCATGACTGGGGACAGAATAAAGTTTTTTAGAGACCCAGCAAGCAGACAGCCCAGAAACTTCCAAGGTGCTAGCTCAGGGGAACCACGTCTGTCACAGATATTGGTGGTCCGAAACCCCGTGTTCCCACTGGCAATGAGTGGCAACATCCCTCCAGCATCTCCTGAGAGGTGTCTAAACACATTGAGGTTTCTGAAGTGCTTCAAGGGAACACTCTAGAGAAGAAAAATGTATTTCTATTTCTTAAACCCTAACCTCATTGTAAGTCTTGCCTAGAGTCACATGGACTGCTTGACTACCGAACCAACAACCCCCCTCCTGCTCTCTCCGAAATGCCTGAGGACAAGCCCTGAGAAACAAGAGCGGATGGAAAGGCTTATCATATGGCTGTAGGCAGTAATCCTTCTTATTTTCCACAGAAGTATGTAAAGTATTATTTGAATTCCCTGAGACTAACAGCCTACTTTTGGAGATGAAACTGCCAAGGATTTGTAATTGTTCACATTGTAGAGGAAATAATAGAATATCTCAAAAATAAGGAAATTCTTGCTCCAAAAATAATTTTTCTATGGTATTTAGAAAAACAAACCCAAAACAGCTCATTATGGCTTCTCTGTCCTATTTTAGTCCTATTTTCAAATGCAGCATCGCTCTTCTAGTGATTTATTACACCCTGTCTCAGCTACAGTCAGCTCTAAATTGTGGTTAATTTTAGCAGAATTTTCATCTTCTGTGCAGAAAAGGTATTTGATATGTGTGATCACAGCTGCTGTGTTGTCATGGGTTACTTCCAGGGACCACGAGCACTGCTACCATGTACACAACAGGGCACACTTCCATCGGGCGCTAAACCTCTACAACCCCCCTGAAATCCAATCTCTGTAAGTGAGAACAAAATGTTTTTTGAGCCACCAAACCAAATAGCTTCCCCTGAGTCCAGTCTCCTTTCCTTATTGGGAAAAAGATGACCTAACAACATATCTCTTTCCCCATTTCCAGCTAAACATTACTAGGTTTCAGAAGCAAAGTTAGAAACCAGAATGGGTAATGTTTTCGGCTGAGGTTCCGGAGCGTGGCTTCAGCAAAGCCGGTGGCCGAGTCCTTGGCTGG